CTACTATACGACACTCCTCCTGATACTACTACTACTATACTACTATACTACTACTACTACTACTACTACTACTAATACTACTACTACTACTATACTACTACTATACTACTACTACCAAGACTACACTACTATACGATACTCCTCCTGATACTACTACTATACTACTATACTACTACTAGTAATACTACTACTACTACCACTACTACTACTACTACTACTACTACTACTACTACTACTAGTACTCCCTTCAGACATGAACCCAACCACTTACGAAGACCGAAGCCCTATGATTGCTGCCGAGGTTTGATCTCGCCGTTGGCAATGCAGCAGATCGAAGCCGACGCAGCAGCCTCCTGAAAACGAGCTGTGCTGTGCGGCCCTCGTTAAAGTCCTTATCGGCTTTAAGGTTTAGGGGTTTAGGGTTCAGGGCTTTTGGCCTTATAGTTTAAGGTTGAGGAGTGCAGAGTTTATAAGGTTTTGGGGGCTTTGGGCTCTAAGGTTTGGGGGTTGAGGGTTTTGGGTTTAGGCTTATTACAGTGGCAAGTATATAGGGGTTGAGGGTTTTTGGTTCAGGGCTTCATAGGCCTTAGTTTAAGGTTGAGGGGTTGAGGGTTTTGGGTTTAGGGCTCTAGGCTTATTACAGTGGAAGGGTTGAGGGTTTTTGGCTCAGGGCTTTAGGCCTTAGTTAGGGGTGCAGGGTTTTGTGTTTAGGCTTTACGGTTGGGAGGTTTAGGGTTTAGGGTTTATAGGGCTCTCGGCTATAAACTACAGTGGCAAACCCAGACCCTGAACCCCAAAACCCCAAGTATAGCACCTATAGGGGCCCCTTACGACATAATCATGATCATCATCACCATCATCATCATCATTATACTATCATTGTCCTGGTCATCAGCAGCAACAACACCATTGTCATCATCATCATCATCATCATCAGCAGCATCATCATCATCATCTCATCATCATCATCATCATCATCATCAATATCATTAGTATCGACATCATCATCAACACCATCACAAGCTTCGTCATCATCATACATGTTATTGTCGGGCCTATAAAACAACAGCCCAAAAGCCCTTAGACAGGCAGAAGCTCGCAACCTAAAGCCCCGGTCCCCAGCCTCGCCCACCAGAGCCAAACCTTTCGGGTCGAAGGCTTTCCTTCCGAAGGCACAGAGTCAACTCGCAGTGTTCCAAGTTGTCCGCTGTATCACATGTCAGATTTGCCCAGCAGAGTGATGTTAAACTCTAGATACTATAGCAACTCCCAATGGACGAGCGGCCTAAAAAGAGGCCCCCGGTGCCGATCTGGAAGCATCACAAGTCGCGACCAGGTAAGAAGCTTCCCAAGGGATATTATGGCACCAGAGACGTGGCAAGAATGCTGGACGCACGGCTCATAACTCTGGGCCGAGTGGTCAGGGCATGCCATGAGTTGGCCATGTCACAGTCCGAAGCTGCAGCAGGTTTGCTCTCGCGAATCGAAAAGTTGGTCACCAAGTTCGAACGGCTGGAAATGGGCAAGGAAGACTGCCGACAGTAGACTTGGTTCCTGGGCCCGATTCTGGCTGGATCTGGCGGGCTTTCTCAGGACAGGAGCTGAACTGTGAGCCGATTTTGGCTGGACCTGGCGATGCGGCTGGAAACTTTCAAAGGAGCTGAACTGTGAGCCGATTTTCAGGAGCACAACCGTGAGCCGATTTTACGCCTGGAGAAAATCGAGCCGTGTTGCACTTAACAGCTGCCCAAATCTGAGCCCCGCCCCTGTAGCAACCCATCGTGGTTTCGTGCCATACCATCGTGCAGCTGACATCCTTAAAGAGTCTGGGGTCGCAACCTACCTTCCTACCGACCTACCGACCTACCGAACTACCGACCTACCTACCTACCTACCTACCTACTTACCTACCTACCTACCTACCTACCTACCTACCTACCTACCTACCTTCCTGCCTACCTTCCCACCACCTACACCCAGGGTTTAGGGCCAGCTAGAAGCTCCCTAGCTAGCCACGTAAAAGACCCAAAGCAAAAGCCCCAAAGCAACCGCACAAAGGCTAAAAAGCTCCGAAACCTCTGCCCAAAAGCCCCTAAAAGCCACCAAAGCTCCGAAGCCACTGCCCAAAAG